AAGACAGAAAATGTCAACGTCGACGGTAGCAGACCAGGTAAGAAGAGAAGAGAGAGATGAGGAGATAGTTTGGATTAACTGGTCCATGGCAGAATTGCAGAAGAATGCTTTTCCAACTCACAGCAGGCAAGTCATAATGCAGCAGGTTTGTACTCCCAATGTGATTCCTAGCAGCTTCCTGAGACAATCTGCTCAGGCTTGCCAATCTAGTCCCAACTGGCAAGCTATGTTTGCTACACTAGCGGTTGTGGTGATACCGTTCAATTGATGACTAGGTATGAAACTGTTTGCTCTCAGAGCAAGGGAACAAGGATAAAGACTCGTCTAATTATGCAGTCAATCAAGTCAACGACTCGGGACACTGGGAAAAGTGTTGTTGTCTAGGAGAAAGCGTCATAAGTTGTTAAACGGTTGATCGTAGGGGAGGGTTAGTCGGTAGCTCCATTATTCGTAACAAGGTCAGGGGGATCCTTGTGCTCTTTCCCTCAAGCCTTTTTTCCCAGGATACCTCGTGCTCGCAAACAAACATCCCATTATTGAAAATTTCCCCAGGCCCGGTCAACCCCTCCTCCCCCCCCCCCCCCCAGCCCCTCCTCCTTGTCCTCCTCCGTCTGCTTATACTCCTGCTTGACCCCCCCCCCCTCACTTCTCCGCAGTGCATCTTCCAACACATCCTTCCACACCCTCCTCCCTGCTCACCGAAGGTACATGAGATTCGTGTGCTGTCCATGTTGATGTTCGCCTCCCACGGACCGCAAAATCGCTTCAGCACTTTCTGAGGAGCAACAGACGTCAGCGGCCGCCGAACCTCCTCACTGATACACATCGCTCCTCCGAACCCACACACTATGGCATCACTTGCACGGCAACAAACTCCTCCCATCAGTACATCCTACATCATCATCATCATCATCATCATCATCATCACATTTATGATAACCACCACCATCACAATCACCACTATCTCAATCTCCACCACCACCTCCTCCTTCTCCTGCTCCTTCTCCTTCTCCTGCTCCTGCTCCTGCTCCTGCTCCTGCTCCTGCTCCTGCTCCTGCTCCTGCTCCTGCATGAGCAGCTGCTGCTTCTGCGATATCACCTGGTCCGACCGTCCTCCGAGCGCAAACCCCTGAGACGCCCTGCTCTCTACCTTGGGTGCCTCCCCTGGCCCCATCCCAACACTCGCCTGCTCGTCGTTCATCCTGTCTTCATCCTCCTCCACCATCCTCCCTCTCACCTTCCCCAGCAGCTGCTCCAACCTGAACTTTCCCAACCACACCGGATCTGTAGGAGAGGTAAGGATCAGCGCGCAGCAGCAACCGAGACTTTCCTGATTCTCCATCAAGTACGTTCCCCTGCACCAGGCTGCATGCTAGCGTGAGATCTTGGGAGGCAGCACCTTCACCATCGAGATGCTCGCCTGCCGTACGGATGGTCGTTGTCGCTTGCTATGGATCCGCTGAACACGATCATCGAGCAGCCGTACTTGCGCTGACCTTCCGAAGACAGTCACTCCCACCTTCCTCCTTGCCCAATCGCAGGCATCACCCGCGTGACGCGTGATGAAGATGTTGATGTCCTCTCCCTTCAGTTTCCACTCCCCGAACAGCATGTTCGACCCCTGCTTCGCCTCCTCGTCACACTCCCAGCATCGTCAAGCTCCCCCACCTCATCCGACTCCCTCGGTGGCGCGCAGGTCCCGTCCTGCTTCAGCACGATGACCGCTTCCCTCCTCTTGTTGTCCTGCGTCCACTTGATCTTCCAGCTCCCAGCCATCGCGTCCACAAGGATCTCCGTCCCTGCACCATTCTCACCAGAGACCTCCCTCCTCCTCTCCAGCAACCTCCTTTGAGATCGTATCTCCGCTCCTCCCATCCCGGCGCTCGCTCTGATATCATGTGATGAGCAGTGCGGGGCTGGCGCTGAACGTGAGCAATGGATCAGCCATCAGCAGCACACAGCCGCAACACACACCGAACGCGCTGCCCCAGGGTGTCCAAGTGCATGCTTGCTAACGGCTGATAGGGGTCGAAGGAGGTGGAGGGGAGTGGAGGTTGCGGAGAAGGCGCAGACAAGACTGGTCGAAGTTCTTGGAGGAGACGCAAGGGAGATAAGAACGACCAGCAAGGCTAAGGAACGACTCGGAAGAACCTGGAAGAACAAGCACTTCAATTCGATATCATCATACCATGGCAGGTGGCAGCGTCTGGGCCCTCTAAGCTGTCTCTTCGCTGCCATGATCCTCTACTTGTTTGTCGCAAACATCAAGAAATATGGCCCTAACAGGATGAATTTTGTCCATCTGGCTACCTCTTGGCAATCTAGAACTACTCTCAGTAGCTGATGACAACGAAGACACTTTCCAGCAACTCGATGATTTTCGTCCAACATTCTTCACGTCCAACATACTCCCACCATCCGTGTACTTGAAGACGATACTAACATCAATATTCTGGAATCCCACAACCCAACGTATCCTTCCCTATTGACGCACCATCGCACATCCGACACTGCGAGCTTCTTCGGTTTCCATCCCACCATTGCAAGTTCAATCCCAGGCTCTTGAACAGACACAGCTACTTCATTTCATCCATCGCACACCTCTCTCCTCTCACACACAGCATCTCGAGTTGGTTGCTCGCTTGCATCTTTCACTTTCCTCTCCTCCTCTCCTCCTCTCGCTCGCGTCCTATGTTCGCACCTTTGCCATGGCCCGTAGAGTCCTGTGACCCATGACCTACCCCATTTGCTTATCTCGACTCAATTCAATTTGATCCACCCCTTGTCTAGACGATATACCCCCTGACATGGTACCTGTACCCATATCTATCTGTCACCCTACCCACATACAATACTTGAAATACCCACCCGAAGATCATATCATATACCCACCCCAAAATTTTGAATCATGACCCTACCATAGACTTTTTGGCTGATTTGAATCTCCACCCTCTACTTTCATTCCATACCCCCTCTATCGACCAAAGTTACCCCACTGGAGTACCACCCCCACCCCCTCAACTCCGTTTCTTTACTACCATCAGCTGCAACAAGTACCCACAACCCCACTTGTCCCATCTTCAACCCTACCCTTCGATACATTTGCAACCCCCGATATAACCCGTACAATTTACCTGAAAGGACCCACCTTTAGAGAAATTATTCACACCCTACCCTACTCAAACGATCAAAATTTGAACCCCACCCCTTGAATGCACACCTTGGATTCTGATGCGACCCTTCCATTTTTTTATGCTCAGACATATCTGGACTGCAATGATATTTTATAGTTTATAGCAAACTTCAGCGATAATATTGAGGGTGTACTATAAAGGAACAGTTCTTTGAGACATAAGTCATAAAACTGTTCCTCCGTTCTCATCGGGCATTTTGTCAAGATAGATGTGCCGGGTGAGGATGCAGCGTGAAAATCGGCGAGATGATCGGACAATGAAGCCGCGGAAAGCGGTTCCTGTGGCAGATGTTGAATGGTTATTGTTGATGATATGTTGTAACGCTTAGTATGATGCCCTCCTGACCTCTACTAGGCTAGCCTAGCAACGGTCCCGCTGAACGATCATGGCGAGTGATCCGAAATCATTACTTGTATGGTTTAATGAAAACACAATGAAGTAAAACAAAGCTATGTACAGGTCCTTCATACAAACAGAAATCAAACTCTCCCTCTCGCCCCGCTCACTACGCCCCAGCCTTGTTTCTAGCGTATCCCTCAGTAGAGCGTCCAAACGCTTGCCTGATCTTCAGCTTGGAGTCTTCAGACAGAGATTGGGGGAACAGCACTTCGAACTCAATGATCAGGTCTCCTCTCTTGCCTGGCTCCTTGGATACAGGCATTCCCTCCCCCCGGATCACCCTCCTGTAGTTGGGCGACACGACATCCTTGACCTCGATCTCCAGCGTCCTCTTGTCAAGAGTCTGCAGGTTGAACTTGAACCCTGTCAGCGCATCTACGAGCGGAACGGCCTTTTTCCTGTAGATCAGGTTTGACCCGCTGCGTGTGAAGATATCATGGGGCTTCTCCTTCACCACAAACACCACGTCCTGCGCCTGCCCAGCAGCCTCTTCATCCCCCTCCCCCTCGAAGGTGATCTTCGTCCCTGCCTTCCACCCGGGCCTCACGTTGATGTCGAAGATGTTCTGTGCGGATCGCCCGGGAGTCTTAGTCTTCCTCGATATCCTGAGCTTTTTGGTGATGCCGGTGTACAGCTCCTCCAGCGAGAGGTTCAGGTCGACCACGTGCGGCCGCTTCTTCGATTCCCCTCCCATGGGAAACGAGGAATGTGCTCCGCTCCTGTGCGGGAAGAACTTTGGGCCACCCCCGAACTCAAAGGACGAGAACACATCGTCTCCTCCAAAGCCGAATCCTCCGAACCCGCTGTTCCCAAAAAAGTTCTTGAAGATCTCGTTAGGGTCCCCGCGGAACTCATAGCGAGTGAAGCCGCCAGGCATTCCCTCTGCATTTCCCGCTGGTATTCCTCCCTTCAGCCCTTCCTCGCCGTACTGATCATAGACCTTCCTTTTCTCTGGGTCGGACAGCACATCGTACGCCTCCGCGATCTCCTTGAACTTCTTCTCAGCCTCCTCCTGCCTGTCTCTGTTCTTGTCTGGATGCCATCTCATCGCCGCCTTCTTGTACGCCTTCTTCACCTCCTCCTCCGTTGCCTCCTTCCTGATCCCCAGCACCTCGTAGTAGTCTCTTGCCATGCTCTTGCCGGCGACTGAGGCTTCGTTTCGCCTTAAGTTGAGGAGGGGAAGGGGGCCGAACAATCCAGAAGGCCACCTGTTCTAAAAATAAACCACTTTTCCTAAAAATGACGAAAATGATGCTATTTTTACTTGCTCTCTCTCTCTCGAGCCCGCGCAGCCGCCATGAATCCCCTCAATTTTCAGTGGTTCCGGGCAGGCCCGGCTTCCCCCCGGGCCCGACATTGGCGGTAGGTATGAGGGGCGTAATTGGCTCTGAAATGCAAGCCTAAAACATGATGGGCAAATCACAAGGGAAGAGGATGTTGCGAGAAAGATCCTCCTCCTCCTCCTCCTCCTCCTCCTCCTCCTCCTCCTCCTCCTCCTCCCGCACCCGACACCTCATCAAGTGTTGTTTCCCTCTTCCCAGGGGAACAATGCTGGTGTGCCTCGCTGCACTCACAGTGGTAGTTGAGGATTCACAGGCGATCACAGCAGGGTTCGTAGGGAATGCCATACATGTCAACCCCGATTCAAGAGGTGCTGGTCGAGCCCGACGTGTGCGAGACTGGGCTGTTTGCTCTGCATGCAAGCTTTATGTTCTTCCAGGAGACCCTAGAGCGTCCCTCGCCGCGGAGAAGTTGCGGGATCAACTAGGCGAGTGCGATGTAGTCTTCGATGCTCCAGCAACGTGCAACGAGGCCTCTGTGTTCTTCGGGGAAGATGGGCGTATGGAGCTTTTGAGAGAGAAGGAGAAAGCTGGAGCGGGATTTCGAAGCGATCTCCCAGATGTAATGCACCCATGCCATCACTTATGCCCTGCCTGCTCTCCTGGACCGGCGGATCTTGTTCGTGTGCATATGTTTCACTCGTGTTGCAGGTTCTCCAGAATCTCTGCTCTTCTTCTACACTTCAGCGTGACCCCTTGGTCAAGTCCCTTGGGAAAAAGTTGTCAAACTCGCAGATAATGCCAGCCATCACTGACTTTGATGTGTTGTAGCGTTGGACGGAGCTTGAGTATCGTGGATGCCACCGGGGGCTTTGGGCATGATTCATTGCGAATGGCGTGCTCAGGTTCAAACAGCAAGCTTTCTTCTTTCCTCTCTCAACCGTGACCGAGCAGGACATAACGTGACATGCTTGGAGCGGGACCCCGTGGTCTACTCGTTCCTTGCTGACAGTGTAGATCGGCTAAGACAGGACTGTCCTGACCTATGGCACGAGGCGAGACCTCAACCTACGACCCATTCTTTCCCCAGCTGATCCTTGCGTGACAGAGGATGGAAGCCAAGGGAGGGTCCCTTCACCTCCTCAACTCCGTGAGTGCTGCCTCCCCGTTGCCGTCCTCACCAGCCGTCAGGAGGCAATGAGCTGGCTGCGAGCGGCTGTCGAGGAGGACGTGAAAGTCGACATCGTGTACTTGGACCCCATGTTCCCTTCCAGCAAGCACAAGTCTGCCCTCCCAAAGCGCCGGATGCAGTGGCTGAGGGAGTACTTGGGACCATCTGCAGCAGCCACTCCCCAGGCCGAGCAGGAGGAGCTTCAGCAGCTGCTCGATGCAGCCAAGAGGGTGGCAAAGAAGGTGACAGGAGGGGCCGTTCCGCGTGTTGCTGACATGATATGCAGGTGGTCATCAAGAGGGCAGACGACGGTCCGGTGGTATCAAACCAGAAGCGCATATGATACGAGGCTGACGTTGAGATGCAGGTTGGACGGCCGAGCTCACAGATCGTATCCAGCAAAGTGGTTAGATATGATGTCTATGTCTCATCGTAGCAGCTGTGCCCCCGGTTTCTAACAAACCTTTATTCAATAAACCGAATCTGTTTCTGCCTTGCGAAGAGTGTCGCGACCCTGCAGAGAGATGATCAGCTCTACATGCAAGAATTAATCCCGAGGCTATGCTATGCTAGGGAATAAGAAGATCGGCATTTCACACCACTTTTCAATTGGATGCAAGATGCATTCAGCACCCAAGGCGACGTGGTGCGTGCTTGTCTAAACGACGTGCATCGGGTGCTTTACGTCCGATGCACACATTTCTCTCGCGTCTTCTAGCGCCTCCAGCACCATGGAAAGGTGTAGGAGGCGAGCTCATATGTAGACGCTGATAAACGAGAATCTCTCATACTGCAGTCTCACCTTCATTTCCCCTCTCACATCTAGCTGCACTAAATAACCAAGATTTCACATGTGCCTTGATCCCCTGGCTAACACCTCTCTTGCCGCTCATGGCCACCACCACCACCTCCTCCTCCTCCTCCTCCTCCTCCTCCTCCCTCGCCCCTTTCTTCTCTCTGTTCACCTGCCATTGGCGCTTCTCGTGCGATACAACGGCCCGCCTCAGTAAGTTTGACAAAAATGCAATCGGCCACAGAATCGTTATTTTTCGGGGTGGGGGTGAAGGTGGGGGTTCAATGTAGGGTAGGGGGTACTATATATCCCTCCATTCCAACGGATAATAGATGGGATTGAAGGGGTGGATAGTGAGAAGAAGTAGGTAGGGGTACTAAAAATACAGCAGGTGTGGGTAGGGTGGGGTGAATTGGGCCACTCCACCACTCCCCCCGCCCCCCCCCCAAACCTTCCCCTTGTTCCCAGGTACCCTACCCCTTACATGAGCCCCTGTAACCCTACCCCCGCATATACTACCCCCACCCATGAATTTCCTTTTCATTTTACTTGTAAAATTGAGTGATTAAAACCC